TTCTCACTACCTAGAATGGATATGAAATAAATTTTTCAGTTGAACACAATGACATACTTTTTCGTTTTGTAGTCTGTGTGTAGATAAGCTAATATCCATGTGGGTGAAGAAAAAACAATTTATTTTGTACTCCTAACTAGAAATATAGAAATATTTAAAAATATTAATTCAGATAAACATGCAATCTTCTTTTTAAATAAGTTTTTGATTATTATGTAGGTACTATTATTATAGGGTATAAATAATTTTGATATTAATCTTTTTACTAACTTTCCTATTAAATATGGTAAGCGGGGATTGCTATTGTTTTTTTTTTTTAATGAAGTAGGTGGCTCTAGGGGGTTGATGGGGGTCAACTCTATATTTTGTCGTTCCCCCTTGTACCCTAAGCATTTTCTGACAAAATCTTTACTTCATGAGATATGCCCATTGTAAGTTTTTAAATTGTCACACCAAAATAAAAAATGTGTGAAATTTTAAATTTATAACATTTGAGGCCATAATAGTTACACTGACCGACTTCATGTACAACACAGCTCATTTATACAAATAATTGGTGTATGTGCTAGATCATTCTCGTTCCCATCATTTATTAGACAGGCGTCTCCGGCAATTTCTCGAATTTACTTCTATAACACGTTGAGAAACAAGAAAACGTTGTGTCAAAAGACAAAACATTTTTTGACACTCATATTACTCGGATAAAGTCTAATTTATATATTTTATGTTTCAATTAAAATTTTTTAAAGTTTTTGTCAACTATATCATTTTTTTTTGCTTAACGTTGATGCCTCACCACAGAATTTGTCTCTTATTTTTAAGGCCAGCTAAACTTTTCTATTACTATAGAATGGCTAAGAGGAAGTTACTATGTTTGTAACATTATAGCTGTCCTTAATAATTTTCTGACTGTGGCAAGTGTGGCATCATATTGATGCCCTGCCGTCTCAAAAAGGACAAGCAGTGAGGCATCCATTAAATGCCACACCATACTCAACGTGATACAGGCGGTTCTAGTACATTCCCGAATGAATGATACAAACCGGGTATCTGTGGGCATAGGCGTCTCTATAGTTGGGTAAAGGGAGTTTATCCCGTTCATCAAATATTCCTGGTTTTAAGGATAAGTGGGGCCGTAAAAAGGCCCAAACAAGGCAGAGGGACCCAAAGGATCAGAGCATGACCAGATTAGTCGAAAATGGCTCACATTACAATGTAAACATTTCAAAAATAAAAAAGTAAAGATTATGTGGATCCCTATTTACAATTAATTTATCGCACTATACAGGGTGTTTATTAATTGAGTGCCGATACTTAAGGGTGTGAATCCTTGGGTGATTTTAAGAAGAAAAGTTAATATCAACATATGTCGTAACTCTCTTAATTTTTGAGCTACAGGGAGTTACAGTTTTAAGAAAAAAATATATTTTTTTTCATAATTTTCTTATCACTGCAGATATTTCTATGAAATTTTGTAAACACCTTTTAATCATTAAGGAGCATTTTTTGACGTATAAGATTTTTTAAATTTTTACCAGTGACTTCCGTACGGGGTTTGAACTGAATATTTTTAAAGAAAAAAATGGTACGCCACTGCTTTTTCTAAAATCCAAAATTATTTTTGAAATATTCATTTATTTTTGAGCAAATTTGGCCCATAGACTTGCTTTCGTACGATGCACTGTGTTAGCGTAAAAAAATAAAAACCAAATTTTTTTTTCTTAAGCTGCTTTTGATTTTTTGTTGAAATTTGGTAGGCAGCCACCATGCGTGAAAACACTTATTTTGGGGCAAAAATTAATTTTCTACTTCCACCAGTGACGGCCACGTAGGCATCATATTGAATGTTTAGAAAAAAAAAAGTACACCTGATTTTTTTAAATTCTATGTATTTTAAAAATCGGGATTTATTTATAGTAAAATGAAAATTCAAAATATTGAATCTAAAACGAAATTACAAGAGAATACAAACAAAATAAAGAACCCAAATTATTTACTGTAATTGTTGGAAGTGTCCTCCACCCACACGTATGCAAGCATCTACTCTTCTTCGCATAGACTGACGCACATTTTCAAAGATTCCTGGGGTGTTTCTTATGGTTTAGCAGCAGACTGTTATACGATTTCGTAACTCTTCTTCGGTTTGAATCGGCACTGCGTACACTAAGCTTTTCAGATGCCCCCAGAAAAAGAAGTCTAAACTATTAAGGTCGGGAGATCTAGGCGGCCATGACATAGGTGTGATTTAAATATTCACGCACTCGTAAGCTAAAATGTGGAGGCGCACCATCGTGCATTAGCCACATCTGGTTTCTTAATAAAAGAGGAAGGTCTTCAAGCATTGGCGGCAGATCATCTTCAAGGAAGTGTAAATATGATTGTCCATCAAGTCTTCTTGGGAGAAAAAATGGGCCTATCAAATAATCATCAATAATGCCAGCTCAAACATTTAATGAGAACTGTTCTTGATTATTTGACTCAACAATTGTATTAGGGTTTTCATCCGCCCATAAATGGTTATTATGGACATTTATTATTGAGTTTCGAGAAAAATTAGCTTCATCGGTAAAAAGAATGTGCCTGTCAAATAATGGATTTTCCAGCAGGTTTTGAAGAAACCACTCACAGAAATTAATGCGCAACGGGAAATCTCTAGGGAGTAATGCCTGGACTCTTTGAATGTGATATAGGTATAACAAATTTTCGATGAGAATTTTCCAAACAAGTACATGTGAAACATTAAATGTTGACGCGATTCTCCTCGTGCTAGTTTCGGGGTTCTTCTCAATTTCATGTAAAATTCCTTCTTCAAGTTCCGGTGTTCTTACTGTTTGATGGACTCCTTTAGCCCTGTGGTCTACTTTTAAAGTTCCGGTCTCGTGAAGACGTCTATGAATCCTAGAAAATGTTCTCGGATCGGGTAGTACGCGATTTGGATACCGCTCTTGGTATATCCGTCTGGCTTCGTATGCATTTCCGTCTGGCTTCGTATGCATTTCCGTCTGCAAGCCCATAACTAAAATGCATGTCAGCTAATTCACTGTTCGTAAAATTTACCATTTTTTTCAGATTTTAACTCTTACTCTAATAATAATTATTTAATAATGTAAAATCAATGTCAACTTTATTGTCTTTATGAAAAGAAACGTCAAAAATGATGACGCTTTACCCAGCCTACTAATGTTTATTTCATTTGCTTTAAGAGGGCAATAATGCGCTTACCATTTTTTTCTATTCAAAACGTAGAAAATTAATTTTTGTCCCAAAAAAATGTTTCCACGCATGGTGGGTGCCTACCAGATTTCAACAAAATATCAAAAGCAGTATGAATTTAAGGAAAAAATTTGACCAATCACTACAATGGTTTTTATTTTTTTACGCGAAAAAGGTGCATCGTACGAAAGTAAGTCTATGAGCCAAGTTTGCTCCAAACTAAATGATGATTTCAAAAATAATTTTGGTTTTCAGAAAAAGCAGTGGCGCACCATTTTTTTCTTCAAAAATATTCAGTTCAAACCCCTTACGGACGTCACTGGTAAAAATTAAAAAATCTTGTACGTCAAAAAATGCTCCTTAATTATTAAAACGTGTGTACAAAATTTCATAGAAATATCTGGAGTGATAAAAAAATTATGATAAAAAAGTAATTTTTTTCTTAAAACTGTAACACCCTGTAGCTCAAAAATTAAGTGAGTTACGACATATGTTGATATTAACTTTTCTTCTTAAAATCACCTAAGGATTCACACCCTTAAGTATCGGCACTCAATTAATAAACACCCTGTATATACATGTGTACGTTGGTATACGTGTTCTGTGGACAGTATATAACTAAACATGTTGGTTGACTTGAGCATTTCTGGCAATTTTTCTATAGACGCAAGTCTAATTTATTTTGTATATTGGCGAACTTGTTTCTTTAACTAAGTTGATGTACAGTTAAGTTTGTAATTAATTTCAAAGTGGAATATATACTGAGACAGCATGACAGCATTTTTTTGCGATCAATAGGAATTGTCGCAATTTTACTTGCAGCTCTTATTAATAAATCATTTAATTTTCTGCACTGAAAATACAAGAAACCCAAATAATGAAATTAAAAAGAATGGTACTATAATAAAAAAAAGTAGATATGTTGTCACTGTGTGTCTCATCAATAATTTTGTAAATTTTGCAAATTTTGTATTCAAATGAAAAAAAAAATGTTTGTTTTCAAGATTAGATATTCGCTTCTCCAGAAGAACAATGACGCAAGTGTAAATTTTGATTTTTTGAGTTAATTGTAATTAAAAAGAACATTGCGTTTCTCCGGTGGAAGAATGAAAACTTGAATAAATTTGCTTTCTCAAAATTCCCATCGATTATTTCAAAACTGTTTCATTTTTTTTTAATTTTTGATTTTTTGTGGAATCATTAATTTTCACATGCATCATTGTTCTTCTGGAGAAGCGATTTATTGTTTCAGAAATGTGGATGACATTCGCCTTTTTCAGAAGAAATAACTAAGTAAATGATGAAATTATTGTTTTTTCGGATGTCTTATTGCTTGCCCCCTAGTTAATGAATGACTATTTACAACCCGAAAAAAGACCAGTTTTTTTTCACCTTTACAATTATTTTCAATGTTACTAGTCTTTGAGAAGTGTTTTAAAAACAGTAATAGTTTTATACGTATATAATAAACATTCTGATTTCTAAGGCACGGAATATTATTTTAAAAAAAAATGTAAAACAAATATATTTTGGAATACAGTTAGGTACATTCTAAGCTACTTTGAAAACCTGGAAAAAAAAAACTCTTGGGTACTTTTAACCATTATTACTGTTTTAGATTTTCAACATTCCTAGAAGTAATTGCAAGAAATGTTTTAAAAAAATAAGCAATTTCAACAAACAAAAGTATATAAATTCTTTTTAGAAAAAATGTCTCAAAATTTGTATTATTAAAGCACGTTGAACAAAAAGCTACTATAATTATTATTATTATGATAAAAACTTACTTGAGTTTTTAACTGATCTTTCAACCAGGTTAGGTAAAAGTGTAAGTCAGAGCGTTCCATTGGAGTTTGAGACCAACATGCAATTTTTGCAATAATTCTGGACGTCATGTTTGTAATAAATCCATCTTGACGATTAAGGAGGTTCAAAAATGGCCCCCAAACTGATTCCTTCTTACGGTTTGCATACTCATGGAATATTTCTACACGATTTCTATGTTCCTAGAATAACGATTTACAATCGATTTGTTTGCAAAGATTTTATAGGATATGTTTAGAAAGTTCAATAATTAATTCACTTTGAATTATCTATTTATAAATATTTATAACTTACTTGAAGCATGTCATCAACCAGCACCAAAATGTACTGCAATGTTTGATCTTTTGATACATGTCCTAAAAGATTGAGGAAGGTTTGGGCACACTGATCGCGATCACTTTGCAAAAGTGCTTCTCTCTTTGAGCCGTCTGGGACATCAAAAGCAACAATGAAATTGTAATCTTCTTGTGAAATCATTTGAGATCTGGAATATAAATGAAAAATTAGATCACAATATATTCTACTGTTTCAATTAAAATCTGTAGTCTTCTTGTCTGTCTAAACCAAAAATTAATGCACATGCCTATCACCCATAATTATAGGATTGACAATGTATTAAATCAATTGAATGTTGTCCAAAACTATATTTTGCGTGTAATATTTTTTAAAGACAGGCTTTTTACAACTAGCCAAGATATCCTAAATATTCGATGTCTTTACTACTTTAGGAACTGTATATGTCTTTAAATCTAAAAACAAAAATGATATTAATCATCACTACCAAACAATACATAATCTTAATAACATCATCATGGTACCATTTAGAAGATATGATGCCAACCAGAGATTTAATGCGATCATGGCACCAAAAATGTTCAACATAATAATACTTTATTGCTTTCAAAACATTTAAGTTTACAGCAAGGGTTTGGGTTTTACAAAGTATATAAATTTATAAACCAATGTAAGGTAAAGTTATAGAAAAATAAAAACAAAACATAATATATAATCATTTTCCAAGTAACAATGCGAAAATCCTCTCACTTATTACAAACTTTCTAGAACGTTCTGTACACAGATGGATAACAATGATTTAATTCAGAATACAAAAATCAAATTAATAAGAACAACAAAAAGAGTCCGTAACGAAAATGGTATCTCCACAAAGTATGATTATAAAAAGCAAATCAGTGATACTATTCATTTAAAATAAATGCCTTTTTTAATATATTCCATAAATAACTCGCTATTATTTTGGCATGATCAGTCGTCAACTTGTCCAGAGCAGAAATTGATGAATCTATGCCCCGTAAAAAAGGAAATTGTGGTTTTATAACGGTATACAGGGTGTCTCAAAAAGGTATGTCATAAATTCTTCCTCAGATAGATTACCAAAAAATAAGTGAATATAGCTATATTTACCTATATCAAAAACTGGCTCCCAACAAAGTTACAGGGCGTTAAACTAATATTCAGAAAAACGTTTTTTTTTTTTTTTTTTTTTTTGTAAAAAATTTGCTGTTGCCATTTTTTCTTTGAAATTTTTGCCAGTGCTGTAGATTTGAAGGCCCAATATTCTAAGGAGAACAAAAATTAAAGCGACTCCTTTAAAAAAAATTAGGGGTTGGGTATCTATCTGAGGAATAATTTGTGACATACCTTTTTGAAACACCCTGTATATTGGGCAATCAAAAAGCAAGTGGTTAAGTTTCATATTCATTCTTGTTACATACAGTGCATAATTCATTAGGAGTAATAAAATAGAAGCTGCCGTTTTGTGTAAAATAAAGTTTAAAACCATTAGACATTCGAAGTTGAGCAATAGTGCATGTGACCTGGATTGGAAATCTAAGCAATAAATAGGATTTTACATCTCTAGTCATATCAAAACCATGACATAAAAATGCAATGCTGAGATTATTAGCTTGATGCACTTACAGAATTTTAGCAAATACCGATTTAATTTTTAAGCAATTTAATATTTTAAAGAGACTGCAGTAAGTGTTAACAGGTCAACTGCTTGACACAAACTTAACATACTATTAGTGAAGATCCAAACCACAATTGGGTATAAAAGGATAAGGTATTATGTGAAAGCTCGTAGCTTCACAGAGGCGTATTCAGATTTACCATAAAAATATGTATGTTTTCAACAATTCTTTTCCTTAAGAGCCAATTTGGATTTATTACAGAGCCGCACGTGTTATCTCGGACATTTAATATTTTTAATTTATTTATTATTTACATACACTTATATACAACTAAATTAAAATTAGTTAGTATCTCATAATATGGCCACCATGCTAGGCATAGTTGTCTGACCTGTGAGGAACAATTTGATGAGGTACCCCGTTTACAGTATTTAAGGGTAGTGTTTTGCACATTACAAGTATGTGATTTTAAATCTTGATTTTTCAGAGAGGTAATGATGGCAGCTACGGTATGAGGAGTCAGTTAATAATAAATTAGTAATGATTGAATTATCTAAAATAAATTATAACAACTATGATTATCATGATAACATCAGAAATATATCAGGATGACCAAGTATATATAACTTGTTGTATTTTGTGTTTTATATATTTTTTTATTTCTTTTATATGTTTAAGTAGCATATTAAATAATTTCCGTCCATAGAAATAAGTTCTGAGTGACAGTTTTTTGAATAAATTAGTAATTATATTTAGATTTATATTAGAATGTGTTTCTTTTGTATTTTGTTGAGAAAATTTTATTTGTCAGTCGAACAATCTTAGGAGACATTGGTAAATATAAGTTAACCTAATATTTTAAAGATTATATAGTTTCTTGATATATAGCACAAGTAGAAGTTGGAAAGGCTTTTGCCAGTTTTCCCACTGAAGTGGACGCAATACATTGGCGTACAAAATTATTTTATAAATGTTAATAACAATTTTGAGTAAATAGTTTAATAAATTGTGAATAGCTGTTGAAATTTTGTAAAAATATGATTTGAATATTATAATACATGTTTAATAATTACTTATAGTCCATAAATACATGCGATTGTTCGGTTCTGCCAGTAACAATTTAAAATTACTTATTCTATGAAACGACACTGGCAGGTAATCATTACTGCGAAATTCTCGAAGCTGTCTGACGTGGTTTGACGTTTACCCCCTCTATACCTACCAAAAGCCTTTCCAACTTCTACTTGTGCTATAAGTCTTATGTAGAATGAATCCTATTTTTTTAAATTATCTTTAGTATTAGATTTTGGATATTTGCAATACATTAAGTGTTGTTTTGAATGTTGCAATACCTTATAATGGATTCAATCAAAGAATTTAATAAATTATTAGTGAATATATCACACATTTCATAGAATATGAGCATCAAAATATGGATTCTTTTTGTTATGTATTCAATATGCTCAGACAATCTTAAATGCTGATCTAGTAATACTCTAAGATATTTAGTGAGTTTGTTTTTCATAGATTGAAAATGTCTTTATTACACTGTGATGTGGAATTTACTACTGTTTGGACAAGGTAACATTAAGTGATAGTTTATTATTTAGCCAATTATGATTTTTTTCTATCCTTTGGGCATCTTTCCATGTTAAAGTAAATATAAGTGTCATATCATTGTCATAAAAAACTATGTGGCCTTTAAAATTTTAGTTATATATACAAGGAATAGTACTGCTCCTAATATGGTCCTCTGTGTACTCCAGTTAGTACATTACAGTCAGAACTTATTTCATTGCCAATTTTAATTTTCTGCATTCTACTAGCTAAGTAGTTTTTCATTAATACAGAAGCAATAGATTTAATGCCATAAGTGTTTAATTTTTGTAATAAGATGTGACCTTGGTAAGGGCTATAAATTGCTATACATTTTAATGAATATGACTTTCACTGCTGAATTAACAAAATCGATTAGGGCATTTTCAGTATTGGAACATCTAAATGTTATTAATTTGTATTTGCTAAAGAAATCTTTTAGTATTTTTTTAAGGCATTGTTCTAATAATTGGGTGAAGTTATTTATAAATGATATTGGTCTAGTTTTCTGTTAGATTAGATTTACCGGATAATATCTTTGCTGGTCATGGCCTACTTTAGGAAAACATGTTTGTGGATCATTATTAATTATGTAGACAGATATGGCCTACATATTAATTCTGTAGTATGTGATTTAATTATATTTGTGGGTTTAGAAAAAATATTTAAAACAATCTATATGTTTCTAGCATTTACTACTAAAAATTGGCATGATTTAAAGCAGTTCAGTTGACTAGAAGCCCATTTATAATAGCTGTTCTGGTAATTCTGTTTCTAATGTGACAAGGTTAGTAAACATCAATAAATAGACTTATTTAACCATAAGAATAAACAAGTAACTTTTAAGAATCTTAAAAATATGAAAAGTAAATTGAAATAAATTACATTATTCTCCAAATAAGTTAATGTAGAAGATCCTCATGTTAAGTTGGATCACTAAGTGGCCTTGATTAAACATAAATTGTAACATGAGGAATTTCTTCTTTAGAGAGGTTCTTTTTTCAAAATATTAATGTTAAAAGTGTATAAAACATACAATATTCCCTTAATTATAAACAAAAATTAGCTGTTTTCTTTTAAGCAAGTAACAAAATTGAAAAAATATTTTTTTAAAGAAGTATGTTTTGGGGGTATAATAATTACATATATTTTTATTCTTATATTTTAAACTAGGATAACAATAATAGTTAATACTTACTGAAAATATGATTGCCAATTAACATGTTGGCTTCTAATATCTGTGGCTCTCTGCTGCAAGACACTAGTAGCTGCTAACATATCTGGAACAACCATTTCGAATTGAAATTTTTACTGCGATTTGGTAGGTATTTTCGGCTCAAGGTCCAAAATACATAGAACGTCAAAAAAATTTTGGTGGCCACTGGCATAATAGCCAAAACCAAACAAAACTATTGTTGTCACGTGAGGGTGTAGACCACATAATTACTTTTCTAATAAAATTCTTTTATATTGTGTATTAAAATAAGGGTGGTGAATAGTCGTTTTACTCAAACTTTTGCCAATTAGTTTGGAAGAAATTTATTACGTTCTTTTAAGTAAGTACTTTTTTAGCTTATTATAATTGAGTTGCTTGCTAATGCTTACCAGTTTTATCATCATCCAGGGACGTAAATATCTCCTTAATTTTAGGATCTGTTCCAGCTCCTAAATGAGATGCCATTTTGTCGTTTTGGATCTAATTTTATACTCACACCCTTTTTAGCAAAACAGAACAGCTGATGATTTGAGTGATTTGACCCAAGCCCTAGGTTGGTGTCTCGTGATTATTGACAATTTAAAAAGTGCTGACAACATAATTTTAGAGAACTACACATGTGAACTGTTTATGCGTTAGACAAAGGTAGAGATATATTTTGTATTGCCGTATTGAAATTATTAGCGCAAAAAATTTGAAATGGAAATTATTAATCCCAGACCTAAAAAATTTGGGAAATTTTTGCCGAATGTACCTCTTCCAGCTATTAGAGAAAAATTTAGGACGAGCGCGAAAATAAATTGCAAATTTAATGAATTTTCAGTACATATTAATGACCCCAAAGACATAAAGTTGATTTTTGAAATGGGGTTCTTTGGTAAAGGTAATTTTTCTAGAAGTTATCCACAATATAACAATGAAAAACCAGATATTTTAAGAATTCGACAGTACGATAAACGAATGGAATGGGCATCAAAAAACCCTCTAAAATTTAGAAACAATAAAAAGATTATTATTGTTCAAGATTCTGATGGTGAATATGAAGATTATTTCAATGAATTACAGCCTGTATATTCTGTTGATAGATCTGGAATGAGAGAAGTCCTCTTTTTGAGTTTAGAAGAAGCCTTTTTTCTTGCCTATTGTGTAGAAGCTTTGGCAATTGAAGTTGAATCACAATACCTCGACCCTGATACATTATGGGCATCATTTTCAAAATGTGATCCGTATTTTGTATGCAATTATGTTGCTTATAATTACTTCCGAACTAAAAATTGGATTGTGAAGCCGGGAATAAAGTTTGGTGGAGATTTTTGTAAGTACAATTTAAGCATTTTTGCATTCTAATCTTAACTGATCTTTTTCTTTTAATCATCTACTATAGTAATGGTACTTTTTATATAAAACAAGGACTAAAAATTATGACTTTCCTGTATCATTCATCAAAAATATTAAGTATAGCCTATTTAATCAAAAAGTATTATTTAAAATATGAATTAAAGATAAAAATGATCTTTTCAGTACCAATGAAAATACTGAAAAATTCAACTTTTCTTAAAATTTCTCCATTTTAGGGAATTCATGTATAGGGTAAAAATTATAGAGAATGACATGCTATAATAAATAACTCTTATAGGAATTTTCTTCTATAAATAATTGAAATATATTGAGACAATCGTTAAAAGTTCTAGAAACTTGTCAGTTAAAGATTCAAAAACTAGGGATGTTAAATTCCCTGGAAATCCGCAGATCCCAAAATTACCCCTACGAAATAATGAAAATTATTTTTGATCCCCCAAGATGAAAATACATTTAATGAAAAATTGAAAAAATTCTATCCAAGGGAGGGATTCGAATATACCTTAAATTAGAAAATGTATCCGCTATAAAATGATTCCTCTTTATCTAATTTATTTTTCTCTATCAATTTTTGAGTTATCGTAGATAGATAGATAGACAATATCTTCATGACAATGGTCCCTAAAGGATCCGAAAGAAAAATGAGCACGAATTTTTATATATTTCTGTCTTAAATTTGCAACAAAAATGCCTAACTATATAAAAAATACTATTAAATAATCTAGTTTGATTTCAAAAAATATTTATTGGATATTTATATAATCAAAAAATAACTATAACTAAAATATTTTTTTAGTATTATATAAAGAAGGACCATCTTATTACCATGCATCATATGTGGTAATTTTGGATGTTTTTCATGAAGGCCGTAAACGAGTAGAAGCATTGACTAAGAGATCCATGGACAATATTTCACTTCTGTGTTTAAACAGATTATGTGAAACAGCTGGAAAAGAACTTATGGTTTGTGAAATAACTCTACCAGAAGAAGTTGACTACAAGGATCTGACAAATGTTACAATAAAGGAGATCATAATAAATAGATGTTCTGAATCAATCGAACGTTCTTAAGTTGATAGGCTGCATAATTAGTAACAGCAATTTCTAATATGCCATATTAGAGTAGTTTTTTTAATTTTTTTAATCTAAGTATGTAAGTTTATTATTTCTTTAAGGAAATATATATTTTTGAGAAACCAATTTTTGTAATACACAAAATTGTACTTATTTTAAAATATTTTTTTGCATGTAGGTATCCCAATTTGTTTTATTACTTAAAATAAAGGTAACCAGTTAATAAAAAAGAATTTTTAGGATATATTGCTCGATATATTTTGTCTATTGCTCTATAAGCAAATTTATGATTAATTTTTATTTTATTTATATAATTAATAAAAATTTGATTAACATTTTTTGTATTCTTTCTGGATTTATTTAATTTTCTTCACTGGTCTATAATGTTACTATAGATTAGTTTTCTTTGCATATGGACGACCTGTTTCTATGGGGAAGACCCATATTATTATTATTATTATTATTATGCATCAACTTAAAAACATTTTTTTAGTGACCCACAAATACACATTTCTTTAAAAAAATATCAACTATCATTAAACATTTATAAATTGTTTGTGTATCCAGTTACTTTCTATTTTACCAGGGCTGCCGAGAGCAGGTGGGGCCCCAGGACAATTTTTATAAAGAAAAAAAAAAAAAAAAAAAAAAAAAAGGTCCTCAAGCAAAAACTTTTCGTTTTTAGTGAAATCTAAAAAAGGGTCCCCCTTTTGCATTTCCTTCTATTTTTTGTAAAAAAAACCAAGTCCTCCCTTTTGTAGTGAACTTCTGAAAAATAAAACGTCCTCACCTCACCCCTTGTGCCCGGAGCCCCGGGAAATTGTTTCGCCAGCCCCCTCTCGTCGGCGCTGGGTTATACAAGTGACATCCAATCTAATTTTTTTATTATGAACTGAATGGCCTTTCTAAAAACTAAATATTGGCCATTTTGATAATACAATCTTGATTTATTTTTATTCTTCATTACATATTTTGAAGCAAATCACACTGGTTTTAGCAAAGCAAAATTTTAAAAATAATTATATGGATTAAATTATTTAAGGGGCCACTATTGAATTTGAACACTTTAACAATAATAGATTTTATTCTACTTCAAAAATTACATATTTTAGCCTAAATAAAAAACAGTCTAGTGAAAATACAATCAACTCAATGTTATGATGTTTACTTTGATTCCATATATTCACATCCAATTGAATGCATTTCCATTATATGAAATATAACATGACAGTTTACATCCCTATTCTTTTCCTTTCTTTCGTAGTTATTCCAGTTCGCCTGTATTCTGATCGTTCTTTCAGGTATTCTTGTTTACACCGTTCTTTAAATTCATCGTTTTGATACCATTTCGTAAGGCATTCTTTTAATTTGGTATTTTCTTGTCTGCAATTTATCACTATCAGTAAACCAGCATTTTTACCACATTCTGAAAATTCTTTAACTTCTTTAAAGCATTTCTCTACTCTTGTTACCTCTCTCATTTTCTTTGGAATCATTACTTCCATTTCAACTTTCCGTAAAGATAAGTCATCTGGATCGCCTAAAAATTGATTTTTTGTCAGTAAGTAAGAAAATAATTGGCACATTAAAGGAAAATAATAACGTACCTAGTCCGTGAGGTCCAGTAGAATTATTTTGAGGGCTCATGTTTCTAATTTTGTATTTGTCTTATTTATTTTTATTTTTCTGATTTGTTAACATAACCTCATTTTTTGACGTGAGATGTGACGTAACAATCAGCCATTGTCTTCCAGGGTTGCCAGATGTTTTTGTTTAAATCAGTATTTTCCAGTTCGAAAAATCGGAAAATTACAAAAATTGGAAAGGTTTTTATTGAAATATTTTTTTATCAAACTATCAAAATAACAAAAATAAAACAACAAAAGTTTATGTTAAAAAGTACCTACATACCTACCTACACTAAATATAAAAAACAAGGGCATTATATAGCAGAAGTAAAAGTTGGAAAGGCTTTTGCCAGTTCTCCCACTTTATACACATAAATTGACAGGTTTGCGGCGGATCTCACCGAAGTGGACGCGATACATTGGCGTACAAATTATTTTATAGATGTTAATAACAATTTCGAGTAAATAGTTTAATAAATTGTGAATAGCTGTTGAAATTTTGTAAAATTATGATTTGAATATTATAATACATGTTTAATAATTATTTTATAGTCCATAAATACATGCGATTGTCCGGTTCTGCCGATAACAATTTAAAATTACTTATTCTATGAAACGACACTGAGGTAAACATTACTGCGAAATTCTCGAAGCCGTCCGACGTGGTTTAACGTTTACCCCCTCTCTACCTACAAAAGCCTTTCCAACTTTTACTTTCGCTATACGTTCAGAATCGGAGCCAGTTTTATATAGTTAATATTTTCATATTTTTCAAATTAAATAACTTTTTTGAAAAATTTAAAAAATAAAGATAAAGAATTAAATAAATCTAAAACAGGGTCTGAATTTGTGTACGAAAAATGCTATCTATGTTTTTCCGTTTTTAGTTTTTTTTTACGAATATATGAATCAAGAATATTGTAATGCAAATGCAGTGGCCTAATTTCGTTAGAACCGATTCCACCATTGTGTTAAACGAAGTTTTTACATTAACAATGTCATTTTAATCTCCGTTTAACACAACGGTGGACTCGGCCCTTAGTAGGTCAGTATGTTAAGGGTCATTATTAACTCGAATAACTTTGAAAAAGAAGTTGGGCACCACTATATTTAAAGCTTACTACACTTGACTCTAGATTAGAGATAAAAATATAGAAAATCACTAACCTAACAAATAATACTTAATGCTTTAGATAAGGTAGATAGGACCGATTGCACCGTTGTGTTAAACGAAGTTTAAAATTACATTTTTACATTAACAATGTCATTTTAATCTCCGTTTAACACAACGGTGGAATCGGCCCTTAGCAAATTATAATTCACATAAGTTTTACTAAAGTTATATTTAAGATGATTTATTGAGTAAGCACTTATCTTTTGGTAAGTTTGGTAATATAAGGAATGTAAAACTAGGTTATCTCATAGTAATTCTGCAGCGTGAATAATCTTCTGATATATGGTATTCAAACTCAATCGACTTGGAATGAAACGTCTAGTGATAAAACGTGTGAATGATCTTCTGTATTCGAACTTGAACTCGAACTGTCTAGAGATGAGATCAAACCCGCCTACGAGATGAAACGTCTAGGGATGAATCCAAAACGTCTAGATATAAATCCAAAAAACGTCTAGAGATGAATCCAAAAACGTCTAGATATAAATCCAAAACCGTCTAGAGATGATCAAAAACGTTTAGATATAACCATGAGCTTATAAAATCGGATTTTAAAAATATTAAAAATCATCTAATACTTCGGATGACCAAGATAAATTAAAATAAATGTGATCTATTTGATATATTCAAATCAAAGGAAAACTGGAAACTTTTGACACAAGGTATAAACGACAAATAATGACATTTGAGTAAGAGGTGATTATGTCGAAATAACAAAATAACGGTTCCAACCGTTACAATATCAAGTGGGATAAGTAAAAAAAAGTAAGGACAATGCGGAAAAATCAATTGTATTACTTTTACTTTAACATTTTTCCCGCAGAGTTATTTTTTTTTAATGGTTCTTATAAAGGATGAAAGAAATTAACATTTTTCGGCGGACGTCATAAAGTTATGCAGGACCGTATTGGATAGGTACATTTGAAAGTTTTTTTATATTTGAGTTTTTTAAAAAAAGTTGTTTATTTTAATGACTTGTATACACAGTTAAGAAAAAGTAACAACTTATTCACCCTGTATATTGGTATTATGGAGATTTATATAGTTTCTTTTGAAAAACAATTTTAATCTTTAATTTCCAACACTTGGGGTGGATAATTTTAATTTCTTACATTCGTCTTTTCTTCAGGTGAATGGCCCTTCCTTTCCAGAATCAGCGTTAGTTTCATATTAGCTAAACGATTCAAAAAGAAACGTAAAAAATATACTTTAATTAATTAACTACTGAAACAAAATATTATTTTTTTTATGAATTTGAAAAAAAAAATCAATAGATTAACAGGACAGTTTCTGGTACACGATGTGAAGCTATATCAAGCTAGCGGGCACTCTGTGGCGGCACCATTCAAGACCTGGTGGGTTTTTTGTAGCTTCTTTGTTACACTATTTGCAAGTTTGTAGCTTAGCCCAGGTCCGAGAAAACAGCGGATCCGCTAGCTTGAATTTCCATAAATTCCATAATAGCGGCACAGATTCAGACCCAGCTGGTTTTTCGTAACTTTTTTGTAGCTTTTTTTTGGAAATTTTTCCAATTACTATGGGATAGGAAATATACGGGGTGGCTCGTCTGAGATGGAACACACTGTATAATTGTGATCCGACAGAATTAAACACTGGTCCATAAATACTGCAAAACGATTGGTTAAGGAAATCATTCAAAAAAGATGTAAGAATATTCTTGATTCAACAAAAGTATAAATACATAAACAACACTAAAAAACATTTAAAAACAAATGTCCGATTTTGAGATTATATCTAAATTTCTCAAAAATATATATTGGATGGAAGATGGCCATAATTCGTGAAATGCAATACTGGTGCCATCTATCAACAGATAGTCACACTATCGAGTTGCACATATTACTTGTAAATGCCGAAACTTTATTTTAAATTAACGCACTTTTCTCTCACGCTCATGGAGAAACGATTATTACTCACGTTCAGGCCTCGCAACGAAATGGAGACAGGCGTAACAAAAAAGCTACAAAAAAGTTACAAAAAATGAGCCTGGTCCGAGCTGGTGTCGCTACAAATATCCGCTATAAGCTAGCGGATCCGCGCTTTTCTCAGGTTCAGTACAAGCTACAAAAGGGAGACTAGCGTAACAAAAAAGCTACAAAAAAGTTACGAAAAACCAGCTGGGTCTGAATCTGTGCCGCTACTATGGAATTTATGAAAATTCAAGCTAGCGGATCCGCTGTTTTTTCGGACCTGGGCAAAGCTACAAATTCGCAAATAGCGTAACAAAAAAGCTACAAAAAACCCACCAGGTCTTGTATGGTGCCGCAACAGAGTGCCCGCTAGCTTGATAGAGCCACTGATCTGTATTATTTTACTGGATAGGATATAGGCTATATTTAACATACTAAAAAATCGTTCCACCAAGGAGACCGGAAGTGCAATAATGCTGGCCGATTTGGGCAAATTGTGGTGGGTTCACAGAACTGAAATTTGGGATAATTTGACGTACCTAACCTATAATTTGATTAGTTTTTCTTCTTATTCTTCTTCTATTACTTTTGCGGGCGATGTCCTTCGGGAAATTTCACCCATGATTTGATTTTTTATGAAAGAAAATATAAAAATGGAAACGTGAAGCATATTGTGTCTTCAGGAATGAACGTTTATTGTTTATTTCATACTCTTTTTACTTTGTTTTCCACAATAAAAACATCTCATCGTAAGCTTGTTGACACAATTTAATGACAAATGTGATGACAAATGGAAATAGAGGTTACGTTAAATAACATCCGGTCCGCCATATTATTTGCCCAAATCGGCCAATTTTTCGGAACGTTTTTTAGGGGGCTATATCCTATCCAGTAAAATAATGCAGATCAGTGGATAGAGCCCACGAAGTGAAATCAGTAGATCTATTGAAAAATCAGTGATCTGGTAACACTGTTTACTTTATTGGGCAACTGATCTTAGCCATTTTTTCGAGACAATGCTTTATAATTCGGTTTTTAAAAAATTGTTTGAGAACCAACTATTCAAGGACTAGTTGAGTCAGTTGACAAGTAAAAAGTATAAACGTTGTTTGTGTTGAATAATTTGGTTATTTTTATTTAAAGTCTCCGATAGAATCCTAAATGGAGCTGTCAAATATTAATTCGATTGCCAACAAATGAATCGATTTATTTGACACTGATGACAACTGACAATGACGTTTCAACATTTTGTTGTCTTTTCATGTGTCATGTCGTGAGTTGCAAATTTAATTATTTTATAGAAAAATCGGTTTACCACCTAAGTGAGTGTTAAACAAAGTAATTTTAGTTGAGTATCTTATTTTGCTTAAAAGTCTCTTTATCTTTATTAACTACGTCTAGTAACTGAGCTAGAAATGGATAGACTTCTTCGTCTCGGCGGCGGAATGCCAGGTTTGAGTCAAGCACCGCCACCTTCCGATGCCCCCGTTGTAGACACAGCGGAGCAAGTATATATTTCATCTTTAGCTTTACTTAAAATGTTGAAACATGGTCGTGCTGGGGTACCAATGGAAGTAATGGGACTTATGTTAGGTATGAAAGGTTACTTTAAAAAATGAATTATAGGTTTAATAACAGTTTTACAAGATTGTTTATTAATACTTTTCAGGAAAATGTTAAAAAGTGTGTTGTCTATCCTTTGTTTATTTTAATTAGGGTTCTTTGATATACTATATAAATTACTAATATTTATAGGTGAATTTGTGGATGACTACACAGTCCGTGTAATAGATGTTTTTGCAATGCCTCAGACTGGTACTGGGGTCAGTGTAGAAGCAGTTGATCCAGTATTTCAAGCTAAAATGTTGGATATGTTGAGGCAAACTGGTAGGCCAGAAATGGTAGTGGGATGGTATCACTCTCATCCAGGTTTTGGATGCTGGTTGTCAGGAGTTGATATTAACACACAACAGAGTTTTGAAGCACTTTCTGAGAGGGCTGTTGCAGTGGTAGTAGACCCAATACAATCAGTTAAAGGAAAAGTCGTCATTGATGCATTTAGGTAAATATTTATTTTTTGTCTATACTATTTACTATGTTAAAGTGACTATCTGTCCTGATTTAGGCAGGACAGTCCAGATTTTAACCCACTTGTCCTGATTTAACATGTGTTTCAATTTTGTCCTCCTTTTGTTCAACATAAAAATAGTATTTATAAAGTCAGTGAAAACTCACTGACTGTATCTCTTGGTTTATTTCGATAGAGAATCAAAATTCACCTAAGAATTTTATTTTTTACTGGCTTTATAAATACTGTTTCCACATTGACGCAGGACATTGATGAAAATCTTGAGAGAATTGAAGTCTCTCCATGTTTTTGATTTGTCCTGCTTTCTACTTTTCAAATATGGTCGATATGGCCCCTTTATACTAAGTATGTACATGTATTTCATACTGTTTGTTAAATTTTTAATAAATATAAAATAATTCTGTTTTAAAATAATGAATAAGTATTAAGGCTGTAACTAAACATTCTATTGTAACACAACCATTTGATAGTCAGTGCTATGATGAGCATTACATTACAAAGCTCAGTTGAAGTCAGTTATATACTTTGTTTTTGATATTTTCCTGCATATTTTTATATTTTCTCTTTAATTACCTAATGCTTAATATTAATTTGTTAATCAAACAAAAATATAGCCAATGTTAAACTTGTTAATTTATAATAAAATATAAAACCAAAAAACTATAGTGTCTAAACTGCAAGTAAAAGATGACATAATAGAAGATTATAAGAATATTAATAATCATTTTACAACCATATAAGGAACTGAAGAAGGGAATTCAACCTCTCAAATCATTAAGAAAATGTCAAAAAAATACTTTCTTTTCTTAATTAATATTCTCGGTTTGTTTTAAATAGTGGTGTGATTTTAAATTACTGTATCATTATGTACCTATTTTTTATTTTATTTTTGTTATATATCTTGTTATTACTTATATCCAATTCTGTATTTTTTTTTACATAAGACCAACACAGTCTTAAAAACTCTAGTTCTAAATATATTATTTCTTCATTATTTAATAAATTTAATGGAATTTTGGGGCAAATTTTGAGGCAAAAATATCTTGAAGAATTTAGTCATTTATTATTGAAACAAAACTTTTTTTTATAAGTAAAAGCATAGAGTAATATTGTTATTATTTAATTTCAGGTTGATCAATCCCAACATGATGGTTTTGGGACAAGAACCTCGCCAAACAACATCTAATTTAGGACACCTGCAGAAACCTTCAGTGCAAGCACTGATCCATGGTTTAAATCGCCATTATTATTCTATAAGTATTAATTACAGGAAAAACGAACTTGAGCAAAAAATGCTGCTTAATCTACATAAAAAGTCCTGGATGGACGGTCTAACTTTAGCTGACTATTCAGAGAACTGCAGTGTTAATGAAAAAACTGTTGCTGACATGTTGGAATTAGCTAAGAACTACAATAAGGCATTAGAAGATGAAGAAAAAATGACACCAGAGCAACTTGCAATAAAGAATGTGGGTAAACAAGATCCAAAAAGGCATTTAGAAGAAAAAGTTGACATATTAATGACTAACAATATTGTACAATGTTTGGGAGCTATGTTAGATACGGTTGTCTTTAAATGAATGAAAGTGTACTGATCTTTTTTATAAAAAAATACAAATAAAATTAATTTATAAAATATTTGTCATTAAAACTTTTTTTTGTAATATAATTTGTCATTTTTGATACAAACACTTTTATTTTAGCTGGACTGATTATTATTTAAAAACTATCATATGTATGTATGTTTTCTATAAGCAAATTTTGTACAGTAACTTTGTGTTTCCCTAGATCCTCATCTATTTTTTTGGGTTTGTGTTGGCAGCTTTCTATGCTCTTCAAGGCCATCTTGTTGCTTCCATGTGCCTGGTCCATATTTATTTATCACCATATTCCCTTAATCCATTAATTGTAGCCACTCATCAGAGCCATACAACATGTACAATTAAAGGACTTATTGGAATAAAATGAGGAGCCACAACATTAATTTATCGAGAAAACACGTCTTCAAAGGTTAAAATAAACTTCTAAAATTACTACAACTTCGTTAAAATGCAATAACTTGATTTTTTTGCTAAGTATGGTATTTGTTGGAGAAGTTCTGTTTGATTTATGGCTTTTATAACCTTATTTTTTATTGTCGGGAAGTAAAAATGTCTTTCTTTTAAAAATTTCGACTTGTCACGTTTTTACAATAAGCCCTTCAATTCTGTGGCCAGCGCTTAAAAAGTCAAAAATGTTTTTTTACATAAATTGAGTTTTTAGTCAAGATACATTTAGAAGAGTGTATATCTTAGGCAGTTAAAAGGAGCTAAATCAATATATGTTGTAAAGTAATAAAAATAAGGTACAAAAAACATAGATAATACAAGGGTAACCTCTAAAGACAAAACGTCACAATAAAACAATCAAATTTTGTAACATAAAACAGTTAAATCAAAGTATGTCTACATATTTTTTAATTTTTACAGGACCAAATCTAAAAAGATCGTCGATTTGGATTCTAAAAATCCTTATTGCTGTGTCCCAAAATTTTCCAGCGTCATTCTCCAAAAATGTGTAATATCGACTTATTACCTTCTAAGCGCCGACCACAGAATTGTATTCTATATTTTTGTTGGCTTTGTGACACATGGGCCATAATATCACCGTGTTTAATTTTTTTTATTGCCTTTTGGACATGATTTATTATAATTTTTATGCTATTAATGAAAACCAGCCTCATATAAAAAAAAATAATAAACGTTTTTAAAGGCAGCTAAGTAGGGTTGATTTTGTACCTTTTTGATCAAAACTTCCTCTCAACCTCTGAAGAAACAAAGATGTCACCGCCCTTTCTGCCAAATATTCTTGTCCCGTCCCAATCCCTAAATCGCATATTTATAAACAATAGTGTTAGTATTCTTATTCTGTAGTTCAGTTGTGATTCTGGCGTCGTTTTTCTGATTGTTGTAGCCTTTTCTGCTCTGCGATTTTCAGTTAAAAAATTATTTTATTTTTCTACATAAATCTCCCTTGACTTCAACACACTATGTCCAACGTTTCTCCAACATCAATATTACTTTTCGGAAATGAGAGCCTGCAAGGCTCTGAAAATATTCATCTACAGCCCTCTCAACTTCTTCATTGGACGCGAAGCTCTTCCCAGAAACAAATTTCTTCAATTTTGGAAACAGAAGTCTGGATACCAAATCAGACGAATAGGGGATAGCCGAGCTAATCGTACTCCAAATCCCGCAGTTTTTCCATCGTTAAAGCACTCTTGTGTGCAGGTGAGTTGTTCTGGTAAAAGATAAGGATTGGAGTAATATTCGCCTGTAATTGTTCTGCCTTTTTAATCGAAAATGAAAATACAATAAATAAGCTGAGTACCATGAAGTAAAGCAAAGTTACTTGTATGTGGCATACTACACATTTTTTCACATAATAGGTACATAAAATAGTAGTTTGGCAACAAGAGTGGATATGGACAATCCACTCGAGTTGTACAGTATATTTTTTCTACGAGTTACTAACGAAAATCTACAAAATTAAAAAATTATTTTAGGTTATTAAGACAAAATAATTCATTTTAAAATAATTTATGAATTTTACTAATTTATAAAATAAAATGATAAATAACACTCATTTTAATGTAAATTTAATTTCAATGACTAAAAAATATACTAACAATAAGTTTGACAGAATTGTTATTTAAAATTTTAAAAATGGTAATTGGGTGTCCAAAATATGGACTGTGATTGGTGGATTTAATTTTTGCAGTATTCTTACTACCTAGAATTGATATGAAATATATTGAAATGAAATATATACGTGACATCCCAGAAAATAAATCAATTTTCTTAAAATCAGTTACACCATCAGAAATAATGGAACTTTCAACGAAAATAAAAAATAAACTCAGTAGTGGGGATGATGGAATTCCAGCAAGTATAATGAAAGCTGTTGCTAGGTACACGCTAAAGTGTACACAAATCAAAAAATTTTTGAATTGCGTACAAGTTAGCGTGTACCTAAACACTGTGTATAATGAAACGTAGTCTACTTTTGTAATAAAAGATATTTGACACATATAATTAATAATTCCTTAAAATCGGGTATTTTCCCCAAACAATTAAAGACATCAGTGGTAAAATTACAGACCTATTAGTTTGCTACCCGCTTTCTCTAAAGTTTTTGAATTAGTAATGGTGTCAAGTTTCATGAAGGAAGAACATTTATTTAATAGTTTCCAGCATGGGTGTATATTTCAGGGAGATCTACACAAACAGCAATATTTGATTTCACAACTAATATTATAAATTTTTTAGAGAGGAAACAATTTGCACTGGGTATCTTTTTAGATTTAGCGAATGCTTATGACTGTTTAAATCATGATTACATAAAAATTAAATTATATATGGAATTAGAGGGCCTGCACTAAAATGGATTGTATCATTTTTAGCATACCGGGAACAGTCCCAGACAACACACCAAATCCCAGAGATATCCTCAGAATATATTTTGTGGATATCCAATATATCCAGTGGATCTAATATGGATATCCAAATGTCCGTCTATATCCCAGGATATAGAAGATATTCGGATATTCAGCAAAATATTTTATGGGTATCTTTAGTAGAGGTTCATTATATATAGTAACCAATGATTATTGAATAACGTCGAAAGAAAATAGCAGAGATAAAAAATATTGTTACACTGGTTTTTGGTATCACAATTTATTTCAATTCAACTTTACAATAACTCAATTCAACTTTACAATAACTTAATTCAACTTTAACAATACGATACAACTGATAACATTAACATGTAACGTCTATCATCAAACTGCCACTCTGACGTCAGGTCGTCGACTTATATAGCTTGCCTCGACCTTCTAGAATCTTCTCGAACAATCCAGACTTTTCTCTGACAAGGAATGACATTTCGAGACATTTCTGGATTATTCTATCTTCTTTATTTACTCGCACTTTTACTTATGACGACCGCAGCACGCTACAGGGTGCTGCGTAACATTGTTCCCTCCTCTCTAGTTATTCGCCCCGAATAACTTGATTACTGGGACCTGGCTGGAGCCAATGGGGAGAATCTGGACCATGGTATGGGGCTATCTTTCCACTGTGAACTACGTTGGATTTACCTCCCGCTGACAGTTGAATGCGGCAGATCAGGTCGTTGATTTTCCTTAAGGACAGAATAGGGGCCTCGCCAGTTCCGTTGCGATTTCTGACAAAGTCCTCCTCGCTGCTTGGGATTGCACCGCTATACCTTGTCGCCCCTCTCAAAATGTGTATCTGTGGCACGCTTGTCGATTCTAGCTTCTGCTTTATCGGTGCGGGCTTTCATACAGTCGTTCCCGAGCGAATCCATAGACCTTTGTCCTGACATTGCACACATCACATCTTTTACACCAATCCGCTACATTCCATCGGCAATTGACCAAATAAAATCTTTCCCGAACTCGTGCCAGTGTCCTTTTAGTATCAAAGTGTCCTCCTGAACAGCTGCTATGAAGCTCCTCCAATACTTTTCTCACCTGTGACCTCGGCAGTATCACTTGGCGGACCACATGTACTCCATCGGGGCTCTCCCACTTCCGGTGCAATAGGCCATCGTGAAGATACAGGGAATCCCACTGGGTCCAGTAGCTTTTTATAGTTTTACTATATTTGGCTATCTCTTATTGCCAAGTAGGTGTGACTTTATTTTTGAGCTATTCTCGGACAAGATCAGTATTGTGGCAGTATCAGGGTGCATCGACGATGTTCCTTAATATTTTATTCTCTGGAAACGTTGAATAACTTCGATGAAACTTTTACTGCCGAATCGCTTAAATTTCAGCAATTCCATTAAATGCACTAATCTGAAAGAAATAATAGGTAATTAAAAAGGTCTATTAAGTAATATTGTTTTAAATAAACTATAATAAAACAAACAATACTCATGCTTAGACAAAACACGAAGCTCCACTTTTCAATCAGCTGTAGAACTAATAAATAAAACTGGTGGAGGGATAGCAAATGTAGGTTATATTTAAATAGAAATAAGAATATAAAATGCCTATAAATTTGATAAACGAAATGGCGTCACTCGTCTCAGAGAAGAGAAAAAATAAACCTAACCTAAACAAGCAGTGTAATATTCGCCTGAATTTATAAAGACATATTCTGCCTATTCTGCTTCCCATATAACAACAGCACAACGTATAAATAAAAAAAAACCTACAACTCAAATCTATAATTATTTAGAATATAGGGTTGTCTCTGGCTGGACATAGGAATGAATTTAAAATAAAATATCTCCATCTTGATCTTACAAATCAGAAATTCTTCATTAAGTTTTGGCCTTTTACGACATAACCCGTTTAGTAACCTTTAGTGTAACATGTATACCATGTTTCAGAAACATTTTCAGTGACGTATTTAACTAAAATATTTCAGGAATTTGTGCTTGAAATGTTATATGTTTGAAACGTTTGAAATATTTCTGATACACTTCTGAAATATTGTGTGCTGTATGGGGGGGGGGGGGGGGGCACCCGTTTACTAACAAAAAAAGAATCATAGAAATCGGACAAGGTGGTAAAGAATTACCGCTAAATATGCATAAAAAATGAAGAGTTTGAGGATTTTCTAATAGACCCAATTGTTAGATTTTGACCAAATTGATATGGGTCTACCCTTGAAGTACCCCCTTTCTAACAAAAATCATTGAAATCGGACACCG